GTCTCTAGTCCTGTTTATATACTGAAGAAATAACAATCATGGAAATTTCTAGGAAAGAAGTTGTCAGAAAGCCATACCCTTTTAATTAGTTTGTTTGTTTGTTTGTTTTGGAGATGGGGTCTCCCTGTGTTGCTCAGGCTGGCCTCAGACTTTTTTTTTAAGATTTATTTGTTTTTATGTATATGGATGTTTTGCCTACATTTGTGCCTATGTGCTGTGTACATGCGTGTTCATGGAGGCCAGAAGAGGCTGTGGGATCCCCTGTAGTAGGAGTTACAGACAGTTGTGAGCTGCTGTGGGGATTCTGGGAACCGAACCTGGGCCCTCTGGAAGAGCAGCCAGTGATCTTAACCACTGACTATCTCTCCAGCCCCTGTCCTCAAAGTCGTGATCCTCCTGCCTCCATCTGCTAAGTGTTTAGACTGGTGTGTGCCACCACACCTAGGTGTCCTTTTGAATTTCAGTTTTGTTTTGAGATAGGGTCTCATTCAGCCCAGGCTGGTCTTGAACAGGATGTGTAGTCAGGTGGACTTTGAACTCCTGATCTTCCTGCCTCCACCCATCAAGCGCTATGGTTACAGCATGCACACCACCACACCCGGCCCCCACTCATTTTCATCATTAGTTTTCCTGGACTGAAGAGGAAAAGCTACTCTCCTGGAAGCTGGGATTTAGATGAGAAGAAAAAGATGTGCTTGGGCTGTTCTTGGACTGAAGCCACCTCACGCCTCTCACTCACCTGTCCATGTGCATCTGCAGATCTATAGCAACCTCCGAGACGCCGTGTCGACCATGTACAGGACCGAGGGCCCCTTGGTCTTCTACAAAGGCTTGACTCCCACCGTGATAGCCATCTTCCCCTACGCGGGCCTGCAGTTCTCCTGCTACCGGTCCTTGAAGCAAGTCTACGACTGGGTCATACCTCCAGATGGAAAGCAAACAGGTGAGACGCCCCCAGCCGAGCCTGGATCACAGCTTCTCTGCGCCGAAGGCAGTGGTTTTCCCTTCTGGAGCCCTGGATCTGTGGTCAAGCTAGTGCTGCATCTAGCCGGCACATCCATTTGGCTCTTACAGACTCACCCCTGCACTTGTGGGAGAAAGGGTATTTCCAGGGAATAGTCCTTCCAGTCCCCCCCCCCTTTTTTTTAATCAGAAGCCCACCTTACAAATTGCACTTATTTATTTATTATTATTTTTTTGGTTTTCATTGTTGGGGGGTGCATTGTTTCCATTCCCATTTTGGGACTCACAGTTTCGGTGCTTTTGGGTGAGAAAGATTGCACAGAGGACCCTGAGACCCAGCTCAGTGGCTATGTCTGCCTCTGGCGGTGGTCAGGCTCCATTTTGAGAAGCAGGAATGGTTGTGGGGTTCAGGTTTGTGTTGCTATAGTTTTCTTGTCCCGCCACCCTTTTCAGCACCAAATAAACATACAAAAACTTACGGCTAGGGCTTCTTGTTGGCTAGGTCTGTCTTAATTATTAACCCATAACTACTAATCTGTGTATTTCTACTTTTTTTTTTTTTTTTGGTTTTTCAAGACAGGGTTTCTCTGTGGCTTTGGAGGCTGTCCTGGAACTAGCTCTTATAGACCAGGCTGGTCTCGAACTCAGAGATCTGCCTCTGCTTCCCAAATGCTGGGATTAAAGGCGTGTGCCACCAACGCCCAGCTTTACCTTTTTTTTTCTTTTTTGGGTTCATGGTTTTATCTTACTGGAGAACCCCTGCATGTCCTATCCTCCAGGTTCCTCTGGTGGCCTTTGTCTGACTACCTTTCCCAGAATCCTCCTCCTAGTCCCACTCATCTTCCTGCCTGTATTGGCTATTGGCCAAACAGCGCTTTATTCATCAACCAATAAGAGAAACATATATACAGAAGGACATCCCCCATCAGGTTTGTGATGGAGTATTAAATCTGATGACTTTGTTTTGTTTTTTTGCGACAGGGTTTCTCTGTGTAACAGACAACCCTGGCTGTCCTAGAACTTGCTCTGTAAACAAGGCGGGTCTACAGAGATCCACCTGCTTCTGCCTCCTGAGTGCTGAGATTAAAGGCATGCACCACCACTGCCTGGCTCTGTTATTTTTATTTCATTTTTTTAAAAAAAGATTTATTTATTTATGTCTGCATACCATCCATGTGTGTGCCTGGTGCCCTTAGAGATGAGAAGTCGTCATTGGATCCCCTGGAACTGGAGTTCTCAGCAGTTGTGGGCCACTGTGTGGTGCTGGGAATGGAATCCAGGTCCTCTGGAAGAGCAGCCAGTGCCCTTTACTGCTGAGCCATCTCTCCAGTTCTGTTTATTTTATTACTTATGTGTCTGCATGTGGGCGTGCGTGCGTGCGTGCGTGCGTGCGTGCGTGCGTGCGTGTAGGGTACACAAGGAGGTCTAGAATTATAGTTCCAAGTGATTGTTTTTCTGGAAGAGCAGCGGGTGCTTTAAAGCCCTGCACACCCCAGTCCACTCACATCATCTACCTTCAATTGCATTTCTCTCACCCTGCTCCAGGGAACCTGAAAAACCTGCTCTGTGGATGTGGGTCTGGAGTCATCAGCAAGACCCTCACATATCCCCTGGACCTCTTCAAGAAGCGTCTGCAGGTGGGAGGGTTTGAGCGTGCCCGATCCGCCTTTGGCGAGGTAAGCCTCCTTGTAGTCCCTGGACAGTGAGGGAACCAGCAGCCGTGACCCCTGTTCCCTCTTTGTCTTTTGTAGTTTTTTTTTTTTTTTTTTTTTTTTTTTTACCAGACTTAATTGACTTTTATTTTTCTTGCATAAAAACCCTTAGGTGGGCTGGGTGGTGGTGGTGAGTTTGAGACTAGCTTGGTCTATAGAGTGAGTTCCATAACAGGCTCCAAAGCTACAGAGAAACCCTGTCTTGAAAATTCATAACAAGAGCAACAAAAAACCGTATGTGGTGGCCACAGCTGGAGCCTGGGTCCTCTGAACAGACACTGGTGTGAGTTTTCACAAGATAGTCAGTGAATTCCTGATAAGGAGACTTGGTGAACACAGTCTGTTTCCAGAGGTCATGGGCCAGGTAGCTGTAGGTCTTGTAGATGGCATCAAAGGTGGCCTTGGCAAAGTTGCCCTGGGCGTCAGTGCAGCCCCCAGCTGATGTGTAGCAGTCATCAATTCTAGCCATCAACAGAAGCTTCTTGGGCACAGGAACAGAGACTATGCCAGCACCTCTGGGGACAGGGATGAGACACACCAACACAGAGAGCCACAGTGACCTGTCACCTTGCATAGAACTGTGTGGGGTTTGCCAATCTTGTTCCCCCAATAGCCTCTCTGAACAGGGACAATGGAAAGCTTAGCAAAGATGATAGCCCCTCAGATGGCAGTGGCTACCTCCTTGGAGCACTTAACACCAAGACCAACATGACCACTGTAGTTCTCCAATAGTGACAAAAGCCTTGAACCTGGTGCACTGGCCAGCCCATGTCTGAGTCTACACTGGCATGATCTTTAAACCTCATCCTTTAGGGATGCACCCAGGAAAAAGTCAGTAATCTCGGATTCCTTAATGGACAGGGAGAACAGGTGGATCTCCTCCAGGGACTTGATCTTCTTGTCCTTGACTACAAGGCAGCCCAGCTTGGTGATGGGGATCCTACACGAACCCCATGGCCACAGTCTTGACCCCCTAGGACCACTGCCAGATCTCTGAGGAAGCTGCTCTGGCCTCCTAACCCTGGGCCCCAAGTCCTCGCATCAGCATCACCCACCATTTGGTGTTTCCTGAAAAAGAAGTTGTATTTCTTTGCATAAGCACAGGTGCATATTTTAGCAAAAATAAGCTTATACAATGCACGGTTTTGTAACCTTCCTTTTCCATCTACCGGCGTGTCCTGTGAAGAGCATTTGAATTTAGATGAGAGAGAGGGTAAGAGCCAGGACAAAGGCTCTCTTCCTAATGGAAACTAGTGTACTTCTGGCTGGCTGGAGGAAGGGGCTTTTGCAGAGGACCAATGGGAGCCAAACGCTGAGATGCCTTGAATACCAGACTTGGAACTTGGACTTTTGGGGTCCTTCTCCTCATCAGATGTTCTTGGGCTTTGGCAGGGGAGCACAGCACTGTGAGGACTCTGTCTTGGGGACATAGGACAAACTGACAGCAGTTTGTGGTGTCACCTGAAGGCAGGGAGGCCAGGCACTGGCTAGGGAAGATGGCCAGATTCAGCCCCGATGCCCAAGATGGCCCAGGGCTGTCACTGCACCCACCAAAGCCACAGGCGCTCCCCCTCACCAGGAAGGGACCCTTCCAGCTCAGTTCATGCCCAAGAATGAAGAATTTCACTCCCTCATTCACCCAGCACTCTCATTCACCCAGGGCACTTACTAGGTGAGTGAATCCCTCACTTGGTTGTGCCAAGTGAATCCCTGTTTTTATCACTGTTCATTTCATCAGCCTTCACCTTCCTCTCCTCAGGTGCGTAGCTACAGGGGCCTCCTGGACCTCACCAAGCAGGTGCTACAAGATGAAGGCACCCAGGGCCTCTTCAAGGGCCTGTCCCCCAGCCTGCTGAAGGCGGCCCTCTCCACCGGCTTCATGTTCTTCTGGTACGAGCTCTTCTGTAACCTCTTCCACTGCATAAGGAGTGAAGACAGATAGCTGTGAGCATGGGAGGGGCCTACAGTCCACACTGGAGGCGCCTCTCCTGACCAGACTTGTTCTGCGCGCATACTGGGCGATGGCTGCTGCCTGGTTGACCTAGGCCGGCTGTCCTGGGCATGAAGAGTTATCCACAGCCGATGGCAGAAGGGCAAGGGCCTTTTCTGAAAAGAACAGAGAAGGGAGAGCTTGGGCTGTAGAAACAAGGCCACTGAGAAGGAGCCTGGCATTGTTTCTCCTCTGTCCAGCCCAAAGGAGTCAGCCATCCTCTGCTTTGTAGTCCTGTTTTTGGGGGAGAACGCTCCCAGTCCTGGGAAGAGCATGGCTTGTGTACAGAGGGAAGGGACTGGGCTCTTTGTAGAAAAATCTAACCCACAACTTGGTGTTTCTCCTACTAACTTATTTAATAGACATTAAAGCGAAAGACACATTCCTCACGTCACTCTTGCAGCTCCTGTCATGAGTCACTTCCCAGATGAGGGAGGGAGGGTGATGGGAGAGGCCTTTGTGGTGTCCCTGCAGTTGCCGCCCTGAGGCAGCCATGTTCTTCTTTTCAAGGGGAACCCTTCAAGGTGTCACTCTTCAGCTTAGCGTGGGTGCTGCACACATACGTGTCCTCTGATCCCAGGAGGGCCTCAGCCACAAAGCAGTCCAGTGATGGGGCTGGCCAGCCGCCTGGGGGGACATGGCTGGCACCGGTTAGCAGAACCAGGGACCCAGACACATCTATCTAGATGGAGAGGAAAAACTTGTCAGGGGCGCGAGAGAAGAAGCACACCTCGACAGCCGTCTTCTCCATGCTCCTGCCTGGCAGCGGGCGAGAGGACAGACCTTGACTTTGTGGGATCCCTGCCCTACAATAACTTGGAATGTAATGCCTGCTCGGGATGGACCTGTTCATGGAAGCTGGAACTTGTGCCCCGCGTGAGCCCCACCTTCCTCCTCTGTGGTCCCTTTGTACCCCCTCCCCTAGAGGCTGAACCTTCTCTGATCTGATGGTCCAGGCTGCTCTTGGGAGAGCTTCTGAAGTGGCTGGGCTCTTGGCTTCCTGGGCTTGGGGCTGCAGCAGTGTGGTGTGGTGCTCGTCTGCAGACACATGGGCAAACGTCTACTCTAGAGAAGGAGCAGATGGCAGACCAATGCAAGGTCTGAGGGCTTCTGTTGCTGCCTGAAACACCACCACCAAAAAGCCGACTGGGGAGGAGAGGGTTTATTCGGCTCACACTTCCACATTGCTGTTCATCATGGAAGGAATTCAGGGCAGGAACCTGAAGGCTGGAGCTGCTGCAGAGGCCATGGAGGGGTGCTGCTTGCTCAGCCTGCTTTCTTATAGAACTCAGGACCACCAGCCCAGGGTGTCAGCACCCACGATGGACTGGACTCTCCCCATCAATCACTAATTTAGAAAATGCTCTCCAGGCTTCCCCACAAGTCTGATCCTACGGAAGCATTTTCTTAATTGAGGTTCCTGCTTCTCACATGACATTAGTTTGGTGTAAAACTATTTAGCGCACAAGGCTGGAGAGATGGCCCAGTAGTTAAGAGTACTGGCTACTCTTTCAGAGGACCCCGGTTCAATTCCCAGTACCCTCATGGCAGCTACAACTGTCTGATCCAGGTCAAAGTGATTTGACGCCCTCATTCTGACATAGATACAGTCAAAACACCCATACACATAAAGTAAAAAATAAATCATTAAAGCAAAACAAAACCTTCAGCACTACCAAAGTCCAACTTGGTGAACCAATGAGGTTGACAGCTATCGAAAGCTGGGAACCACTGGGCGGTGGTGGCCCCAGCACTCGGGAGGCAGAGGCAGGCGGATCTCTGTGAGTTCAAGACCAGCCTGGTCTACAAGAGCTAGTTCCAGGACAAGCTCCAAAGCCACCGAGAAACCTTTTCTCGAACCCACTCCTCCCGCCCTCACCAAAAAATGCTGGGAACATGGAACACACTGAACAGCCTGCAGGTCCACCAGGCAGCTCAGTGGTCGGGCCTCTGAGGTCAAGTTGACCGATCTTGACTATGCTGGGCAGCCCAGCCCATGGCGGCTTCTTCCAGGCAGCTGTGCTGCTGACCCGAGCCCTTTTCAGGCAGCCTGGCTTGGGTGCTGAATGCATCTCGGTGGTCCTCATTGCCTGCACATCCTTAGTAGGGAGGGGCTTCCAGGAGCCTTTGAGTTGTTCGCGCCCCTAGAACATTCGGTATCTTTTATTTCTTTTCCGTTTTTCGAGGCAGAGTTTGTTTCTCCTCTTAGATGTCCCATCTTAACCTGGAGGCTTTAGTCGGCTGTCCGAATCTTTCAGTTTGCTTTTTTATAAAGTAAATCCCATGCTCCTCATTTGCCCTCTGGCAGGCGATTCCTTGGCTGCCGCAGAGGAGAGTTCTCTTTTGTACCTATTACCATGACTGCCGCGACAACTCTTAAAATAAGCGCGAGCTCTGGCTGCTGGTCGCCTGTGTGCCCGTGAGGTGGGGAGGCCACAGCGATGCTCCCGAGTCCCCCCGGGGAGGACCCAGGGCCCTTTCTCCAGGACCGCCCCTTGGATTTAAAACTTATTTTGCCAGGGTGTGCCCCAGACCTTACACACCTTCTGCTTTAACCAGCCCAAGCCCGGAGGACAGTGCCCAGGCTGCTGCGATTGACTCGCCCCGCCTCCCGGTAGGCCACGCCCTCCCGAGGCTCCGCCCACGCCGCGCGGCCCGGGAGTCTCCCACCCGGTTCACCTGAGCCCCGCAAGGGACATGGTGACCCTGGCGGGGGTGCGACCCGGCAAGAGCAAGGGCTTCATGCGGGACGGAGAGCGGGTCCG